CGCCTCCTGCTGCTGCGGCGGCTCCAGCTGCGGCTGCTGCAGTTGCTCCTGCTGCTGCTGCTGCTGCTCCTCCAGCCGCTGCAACTCTCTCTCCTCTCTCTCCAACTCCAGCTGCTCCTCACGGGCACGGCAAACACGAGCCTGGTGCCGGGTCGGGTAGGGGTGGGGGGGAGGAGTAGTGTCGGGGGCTGCGGCAGCCCCGGGACCGCCCTCCAAAGCATCTGGCGCACCACCCCCAGAGTCAGCACCACCAACAGCAACACGACCAGGCTCACCAGGACCCGAAGAGGGTGCACCCGCACCCCCAGACGTAGCACCCCCAAAGTCAGCAGGACCAACACCAGCTCCCGGAAGACAAGAGTCTCCTGCAACCACGGGCTCAGCTCCAACTCCAGCACCCCTAGAGCTAGCACCTGTAGGGCCCTCTCCACGAGCACCGGCTCCCGCAGGGTCTGCAGCAGGCTGCGAGGAGGACTGCGGGGAAGGAGGCTGCACCTGAGGGGCTACCGAGGGGGGAGGGGTAGCCTGGGACACACCTGACGGGGCGGGACCAGGGGGGGGAGGCTGTACCGGGGGAGCAGGAGGGGGAGCGGAAGTCAGGAAGAGAGGGGGAGGAGGAACCGGGAGACCTCGACTGGGGTACCTGACGTAGTAGGGGGTGACTCCTCGAAACGGACGTCACGGGAGTCAAAGAACCGATGAGAGGGAGGGTGGTAAAAGGTGAAGTCAGAGGAGTCCTCAGGGAAACCAAGGAAGACACAGGGAATGGCGCGAGGCGAGAGCTTGTCCGCGGAAGTGTCGTGGACAAGAGCCAAGCAACCCCAGACACGAAACCTCGACGCAACACCAGGGGACCCGGTCCAAAGACTGGTCGGTGAAGCCTCTGGCCGAGAGACGCGTGGCCAGAGGTTCAGCTGGTGAGCGGCGTACCTAACCGCGTAGGGCCACAGAAAATGGGGGGCACGGGCGTGAGTCAAGGAGGTGCGGGCGATCTCCATGACCAAGCCTATGCGGCGCTCAGCAACCCCATTCTGCTGTGGGGACTCTGGAAGCGTCCAGGACTGACGATGCCCTGCTCGCGACAGAATCCAGCGAGAATGCCGGAGTGAAACTCACCCCCACGGTCAGAGTGAAGACAGCTGACACGACGACCACGAGTGCCCTCAGTGGTAAGCAACCACCTGATCAGCGTAGAAGTCACCTCAGACTTCTTCGCCAGGGGGAACACTGTGGTGTAGCGGGAGTAGTCGTCAACGACCACCAGAAAGAAACGCTCGCGCTCAGGGCCAAGGCGAGGGGCGGGGCCCCAGACGTCCAAGTGGAGCGTCTCAAAAGGCTCGGTGGCCGGACGAAGGGAGGAGGAGTGAGGGGTGGCGCGCAGCCGGCCCTCGACGCAGGGACCGCACGGCGGTGCAAGCGAAGGCAGCAGCGACGGCAAGACACGCGGGAGGCCTAAGACAAGACGCTGACGAGACATAGCGCGCAGACGAGGGAGGGACGGGTACCCCGTCCGGTGGTGCCACAGAACGGTGGGGTGTGCAAGCGACCGGCAGGAGCACGATGCAGCAACTGGACCAGACACGGGAACCTGACCAGACACAGCTACCTGGGGGGACGCAGCAACCTGGTGAGACACAGGGACCAGACTGGGGGAAGTAACCGGGGCCGGGGGCAGGAGTCGCAGCTTCTGCTGCTGCCGCTGCTGCTGCTGCTGCTGCTGCTGCTGCCCACCAGGGCCAGTGTGAAGTGTGTAGAGACCAGAGCCCGGCTCGGCAGTAAAGGTGGCAAGAGGCGAGTAAGTGTTGCCGTCAACACAAACCGCCGTCTCACCAGAGGGCTCAATCCACACACTCACGTGCTGACTCACAAGAGGCCTCACGCCCACCAAGTTCCTCGAGAACGAGGGGACGTGGAAGCCAGTCAGAGACCCAGAGGGAGCAGCAGGGCAAGGAAGAGTAGTAGTGTAGCGAGCAGTGACTGGTCCCGAGGTGGGATCAGCCAGGGCCACAGAGACTGGCGCAGGAAGTGGAGTAAGTGTCGTGTGGTCGCGAAAGAAGCAGTGCGAAGCCCCAGAGTCCGGAGTGAAAGACAGCAAAGCGTCCTCCGAAGTAGCGCATGGACTAGTGTCTACACAAGTGCCTACACTAGCAACAGGCAACTCAGCAAGACTAGCACCTAAGCTAACAACACTCGAGTAAACAGAGTCAGAAGCACTAGAGTCAACAACAGCATACATAGCATGAGGAGTTCCTAAGAGATCAAGCAACTGAGAAGCAGACATGCCCCAAAGAGCGGAGCCGTACGTCTGAACAAGAGGAAACCAGTCAGGGGCAGGGCCGCCAACGCCGAAGGCCAAGCGAACCGTGTCAGTGAGCTGAGCAAAGCACTGACCAGGAGGGTGGGTGCGGCCACAAGGCTGGCCTCGGCGAGCACCTGTCAAAACCTGATAGGTGCACGAAGGGTGAACAACACCTCGCTGGGGCTGACGCTATCCCGGCCTCGAAACCTGCTGCTGCCGCTGCTGCTGCGGGGGCTGCTGCAAGGGGAGGGGCTGCTGCTGCTGCACCTGCTGCTGCCGCTGGGCCAGGTACCACGCCGCTGCTCCACCCACCGTGGCCGGCAGACCAGGAGGAGGCTGACGAGTCCGGGTGTCGCCTCCACCAGCTGCAGTAGGGGAGTCACTGGCCGCTGCACGAGACGCCTCTCCAGGCCCTGCGCTCCTGCCGCCACCGGTCGGCACGCCACCCCCACCACCTCCGCCGCCAACGCCGCCACCGCCGCCGCTGCCTGCACCGTGACCGCCCCTCCTGCCACCCCTACCTCGAGACCGCGACGTAGTCGTAACAGCAGCTGCGGTCACCTCAGTAGTGGCAGTGGCTAGCGAGGCAGTAAAAGTGGGCAGCTGAGGGACAGTGCACCCGTGAAACAGTGGAGGGGGCACAGCACTAGAGGCGGAGGCTACTGAGCGGAGGTTGCTCTCGACGTCCTTGAGCGCAGACTCAAGGACCTCGATAGTGAGCTCACTAGGGTGCTTCTGAAGAAGCGTGTCACGAACCGAGGCAAGGCGGTCAGGGAGGCTAGTGGCAATGAAGTAGATAGTAATCGCCATGGGAGGGGGAAGCAGTGCAAGTTGTGCGTCAGTGCAAGCAGCGCGGTAGCTAGAATCGAGCGAGCGGAGGTGAGCAATCAAGTCAGTAGAGCGCTCAAACGAGGCGAGGTCAGGGAACAAGAACGGTAGGAAGAGGCGGCCAAGAGAGACAGTGGTGGGAGTAGCGTAGCGGGCCTTGATCGCAGTCAGGAACTCACTAGCAGTGCGAACCTGAGTGAAGTGGGCCTCCTCAGACTCAGGGAGGAGGCTGCTAAGAGCGATGCAGGCCGCAGCGTCACGCGACTTCCACGCCGTCAGGTCAGCACGCTGGCGGGTAAAGCGGTCTCTGGCGGCGTCGTCAGGGGCAGGGCCTAATGGCGTAGGGTCGTCGGGCGCAGGAAGGTCACCAGTAGCGTGCGCCCAGAGGGACTCGCCCGCCTGGACCTGACTCTCTAAAAGGCGACGCGCGCGTAGGAGCCAGATCGGAAACTCGAGCGGTCTACTGTCAGCGTCAAAAGGAAGAACCCTAGGGGTCGCCATAGCAAAAGCAAAGAGGTGGGAAGTGCTGCTGCTGAAACCCTAATCACTGAGAGCGACTCAGTAGGGCGCTACGGGACATAGGGTAGGGCGCTACGGGACACAGAGTAGGGCGCAACACTGCTGGACTAGGAGGGCGCAGCGCCACGGGCAGGGGTAGCGCGACGCGACGCAGCGGGACAGGACGGGCAGCGCGACGCGACGCGACGCGACGGGACAGGACGGGACGGACTGCGCGTCGCGGACGGGCAGCGCGACGCGACGCGAAGGGACGGGACGGACTGCGCGACGCGGACGAACGGGACGGGACGGACGGGCAGCGTGACGCGGACGGACGGGACGGGACGGACGGCGCGACGCGGACGGACAGCGCGACGCGGCGGGACAGTTGGAGCGACGTAACGGCAGGCGCAGCGGGCGCTAGGGCACGAGAGCGACGTAACGGCAGGCGCAGCGGGCGCTAGGGCACGAGAGCGACGTAACGGCAGGCGCGATAGGCGCTAGGGGACAGTACGAGCGTAACGGACACTAGGGTACGGGACAGGCTCGGGCGCTACGGACGTGAACGAGAGGAACGGGATCCCACAGGATCCTAACCTAGGTGATACCATGTCAAGAATGAAAGTGTTGGTTCATTGATGTGGGTTGGGGTACATATAACATACCCTAACATCTGTACCCCCTAAGACAAACCTCACTACAGGCTACAACATTTGACAAAGACCTTCCCGTCGCCCACGCTCACTCCCTTCCCATCGCTATCGCTCAATCGTACCGTCGCCCACGATTAGTCACTTCCGTCGCCCACGGTCACTCCATCCCTTCGCCTACGCTCACTCCCATTCCATCGCCTTTGCGCAATCCTTCGATCGCACACGCGAACCCCCGCTCGTCGCACACGGCCTATTCCCTCCCGTCGCACACTACCTCCCGCATCTCCGCCTCACCCATCTCCGCCTCACCCATCTCCGCCTCACCCTCTCCGCCTCACCCATCTCCGCCTCACCCATCTCCGCCTCACCCATCTCCGCCTCACCCCAGCTCCGTCCGCACGCACTTTCTCTCGTCGCGCGCGACAACTCTCCTTCCGCCGCCCACGCTCTCTCCCTCCCGCCGCGTTCTCTCACTACCCTCCTGTCGCGACGGTCCCCTCCGAAGCACACACTCAATCCCCTTGAGGGGAGAACATTACTCACCCCCCTCGCTCGGCCACGCGATTTCCCTCTCGTCGCCCACGCTCACTCCTCCCCGCTGCGCACGCTCTCCCCCCATCCGTCGCCCACGCTCACAGCCCGTACTCCGCACACGCTCACTTCCCTCCGTCGCCCACGCTCACCACCTGCCCCTCGCATTCTCTCATTCCCCTCCGTCGCATATGCTCCCTCCCCATCCCTTCCCTCCCCATCCCCGCCTCCCCATCCCTTCCCTCCCCATCCCTCACCTCCCAGTCTCTCATCTTACCATACCTCTTCTCCCCATCCCTCACCTCCCCATCCCTCACCTCCCCATCCCTCACCTCCCCATTCCTCACCTCCCCATCCCTCACCTCCCCATCCCTTCCCTCCCCATCCCTCATCTCCCCATCCCTTCCCTTTCCATCCCTCACCTCCCCATCCCTCACCTCCCCATCCCTCACCTCCCCATCCCCGCCTCCCCATCCCATCCCTTCCCCATCCCTCACCTCCCCATCCCCGCCTCCCCATCCCTTCCCTCCCCATCCCTCACCTCCCAGTCTCTCATCTTACCATACCACTTCTCCCCATCCCTCACCTCCCAGTCTCTCATCTTACCATACCTCTTCTCCCCATCCCTCATCTACTCATCCCTCACCTCCCCATCCCTCACCTCCCCATCTCTCACCTCCCCATCCCCCATCTCCCCATACCTCACCACCTGCCTCTCGCCTTCTCTCATTCCCCTTCGTCGCCTATGCTCCCTCCCCATCCCTTCCCTCCCCATCCCTCATCTCCCCATCCCTTCCCTCCCCATCCCTTCCCTCCCCATCCCTTCCCTCCCCATCCCCTCCTCACCCCATCTCCTTTCCTCCCATACTCACTTCCTTCCACCCTTCCTCCTTCTTTTCCCCCCTAACCCCCTTCCACCCACCTCCCCGTCCTCCCTACAGCCCTTCCTCCCTTCATCACTTCCTCCATTCCTCCATTTTATCCCTTCATCAACTCCCCCCTTCTGCCCTTCTCCCATCTCCCCTTCCTCCTCACATCCCTTTCGGTTCAGCTGTCTCTCCCGTCCTCCTTACTCCCTTCATGTATTCCTCCCTTCATCCATGCCTCACTTTTTATGTCACATTTGTTTTTCTGGTTTGTGTATGTACAGGAGGTCCACTATTCATCTAGTTGTGATGTGTTGGATGTTGGACAGTAATATGGCAAAGCTATGCCATGTATTGGCGTTTTGAATCATTTCATCATTGATCAGTGCTAAGAAGGCCAACAATCAGCATATTATATAAAGAAAAGGAGCACAAATGACTGTTGGCCCAAATACAACAACAAAACAACGAAATGTTGCAATTCTTCTGCTACACTGAATGCAATAAACCACGACCCATACGAATGTGACAACACTCGGTGCTGGGCACCAGTACGCAAGGCGAGGAGTGTGAGAGAGGCGAGGAGTGTGAGAGAGGCGAGGAGTGTGAGAGAGGCGAGGAGTGTGAGAGAGGCGAGGAGTGTGAGAGAGGCGAGGAGTGTGAGAGAGGCGAGGAGTGTGAGAGAGGCGAGGAGTGTGAGAGAGGCGAGGAGTGTGAGAGAGGCGAGGAGTGTGAGAGAGGCGAGGAGTGTGAGAGAGGCGAGGAGTGTGAGAGAGGCGAGGAGTGTGTTCTCCGCTGGCACAGGCGCCCTGCAGTGGCGACGGCAAGGCTGTGAGGTGCGCTCAGCCGCATGGCATGCACACTTGCCTGCATTGGTGGGGGGCAGGGCGCGACGGGTGTGAGGGAGAGAGGAGAAGTGCTGCGTACTGAAGTGATAGAGAGGAGAGTGGCGAGGGACAAAGAGATGAGAGCAAGTGTCCGGGTGATCAGCAAAGAACCTCTAAGAATGGCCTTGACAGGGCGATCGGCATCCTGGCACCACCCACCCCGCCTGCTCCACCCGTGGATCTGCGCTGCCCTTGTGCCTCCCTCCTCCACTGTGGCAAGGTGAGGCACGGCAAGGAGAGGCGAGGCGAGAGAAGGTGGTGGGCAGCTGCAGAAGCTCGAGCTGCTGTCGCATCGGCAGCGCTGCCTGTGGCCCCCTCAGAGTGTCCTCTCTTGCTCGCCCGTCCACCTCCATCTCCGGCAGCAGCTTGGACGACAAACATTATTGGCAGCACTGGGGGGCAGGGGGTGGTGAGCCAGGAAGGGAGATGGGAAGGAGAAGAGATAAGAGGGAGGGAAGTGAAAGGGAGCGATGGGTTGGAAGGGAAGGGTTGGAAGGGAAGCGTTGGAAGGGATGGGTTGGAAGGGATGGGTTGGAAGGGATGGGTTGGAAGGGATGGGTTGGAAGGGAAGGGTTGGAAGGGATGGGTTGGAAGGGATGGGTTGGAAGGGATGGGTTCTAGAATGAGCAGCGGGGAGGGGAAGAGAGTAGCGGGGAAGACAATGAGCAGGGGGGAAGACAATGAGCAAAAGTTACACCAATGTATGAGGAAGCGGGAGGGATGGGGAGCGATGTCGACGCGGCGACAGGGAAGAGAGGAGAGGTCGACGGGAAGAGCGATGGGAGGGAAGCGAGGGTGATGGGCGGGGGAAGAGAGGAAAGGAGAGGAGAGGTTTGCTGAAGTGGTATTGGAAGGACTTGGCCCATGCCGGGAGGGATGTGAGGGCGACGGGGAGGAGCGACGGGGAGGGGCGACGGGGAAGGACATTGAGGGCGACATGAAGGGGAAGTGGGGACGACCGGAAGGGGGAAACAGAGGGAGGAGGGGGGAAGAGAGTGAGCAGGGGGAAACATAGTGAGCAAGGGGAAGAGAGTGAGCAGGGGGGAACATAGTGAGCAAGGGGAAGAGAGTGAGCAGGGGGGAACATAGCGAGCAGGGGGAAACAGAATAAGCAATGGGGAAGAGAGTGAGCAGGGATGGGGATGGGGAGATACGGCATGGGGAGGTGAGGCATGGGGAGATGAGGGACGGGGAGATAAGGCATGGGGTGGGGAGGTGGGGAGATGCGCTCTCAGGAAGAGGGAGAATGTGGTGGGTAACTGCGGGTGACGGTTCGGGGAGATGCGGGCGACAGGAAGGGGAATTGCGGGTGACGGGCAGAGGAAATGCGGGCGACGGGATGGAGAAGGGAGGGCGACGGGATGGAGAAGGGAGGGCGACGGGATGGAGAAGGGAGGGCGACGGGATGGCGAAGGAAGGGCGACGGGATGGAGAAGGGAGGGCGACGGGATGGAGAAGGGAGGGCGACGGGATGGCGAAGGAAGGGCGACGGGATGGAGAAGGGAGGGCGATGGGATGGAGAAGGGAGGGCGACGGGATGGCGAAGGGAGGGCGACGGGATGGAGAAGGGAGGGCGACGGGATGGAGAAGGGAGGGCGACGGGATGGCGAAGGGAGGGCGACGGGATGGAGAAGGGAGGGCGACGGGATGGAGAAGGGAGGGCGACGGGATGGCGAAGGGAGGGCGACGGGATGGAGAAGGGAGGGCGACGGGATGGAGAAGGGAGGGCGACGGGATGGCGAAGGGAGGGCGACGGGATGGAGAAGGGAGGGCGATGGGATGGCGAAGGGAGGGCGACGGGATGGAGAAGGGAGGGCGACGGGATGGAGAAGGGAGGGCGACGGGATGGCGAAGGGTAGACGACGGGACGCTCAAGTGATGGCGATGGGAAGGGGCAGGGTGGAGCGGAGGGTCGCGTGGACGTACATAGAAGCTTCCTACTACGAGCGTTTTCTTACAGGTCAGTCGCCCTTTCTCTACGAGCGGAACCCCATCCGCATTACGCGCCCTTGGTCGGTATCTATGGCGTTTTCGCACCCTGGAAACTGTAAGATTTGAAGCGCAATGTCTAGCATCACTTTGTGTGCTGCCGCTTGGAGGACTCCAGGATTCTATACTTTCGTGACTAAGTTAGTAGCAATGTCGAGCTGTTTTTTTGTTGAGGGAGGGTTGTAGGTCACATGCTCTCTGACTCGTTGTTTTGGTTTCCGTCGCCCAAATATAGTGTTGCGACACTTGTGTTGCTCAAATTGGTTTCGCCAGCAAAAAGTGTCCCCAACCCACCCGAACCTCACGTTGTCCCCTTCCCAAACCAAGGGTTGACTCGTTCTTGTAATTCAGGCTTCGGGTATAAACCCACATGAGAATCGAACCCATAACCTCCCTGATTGTACCAACACTTCTAACTGACCGAGATACAACCTTGCCATGCGAGAATATATATTTTATCTATTGTTTATATCCTGGTACACTGAGTAAATCAGCTTAAAGCAGCAGTATACATTTGGCAGGGCCTTTGCCCAAAGTTTATAAATGGGACTTGATGGTAACCGAATTACAGGCCAGTCAACGTCTGTCACGAGCGACGTCTTTCCAACCCCTCACCAGAACCCCTCTCACCAGACTCACTCGTCAAAAGTTTATGGAAAGCCAAAAGTATACTGAAGGAGTTGCCTCCTCCCCACTAGCCCCACCCCCACAGCGTAGCTCAGCGTGCACAGCTAGAATAACTACCGTACGCAATATTAGTGGTTGCAACATCTCGCTGTTAGGTCATTTTTCAACCAAACCACGGTCTATTTTGTTACGCGCCAACGACATTCGCCGGCCCAGTTGTGAAATGCTAGAGGCCGTTCACGTGGCGAGAAGCGACCACAACTAAGTACTTACATCTAGGTCTCACGCCCTGGAGTCAGTCTAGGCGTACCCCACCAAACGCGCATTCAGTCGCTGGCTTTTAGGGTTATGATCGCTCTCGCCACGTGCATGTCTGCCGCCTCGCCAAGCCACTCGCTGCCTCACGTAAATTTCCTACGCACTCTCGTCGCTTTCCGCTGACATCTCGCCACCCCTTCTTTTGCGGAATCGAGCCACTGCTGCCTCATCGCCGAATAACGCGGAATATCGCATTGCTGCCAAAAGGCGTCGCAACACGCCCCTGCACGCAGCCCAATCCGCGTCGAGCAGCCTCGCCTCGTCGCCCGTCGCAGCATCGCTTCGCCGCACCACCGTTCTCCCCTTCATGCCTCCTTTACTCCCCTTCCGCCTCCCATTCTCCCCTTCCCGCCTCCCTTTTCCCCCTTCTCGCCTTCCCGTCACGCCTTCTCGCCTTCCCGCCACGCCTTCTCCCCTTCCCGCCACGCCTTCTTCCCTTCCCTCCCTTCCCATCGTTCCCCGACTGCCTCACCGCGCTTTAATTCGACTGGGCGCCAGGACTCCTCACGCGGCCCCGTCGCGCCCACCTTCATGACATCGTCACGCTCCTGAGCGCGACCTCATCTCACCTTGCCTCGCAGGTTCCCCGCGCTTATCCCCCGCCTTCTCTCCCTCCTTTCCCATCTCCTCTCCCTCCCTTCCCATCTCCTCTCCATCCCTTCCCATCTCCTCTCCTTCCCTTCCCATCTCCTCTCCCTCCCTTCCCGCCTCCTCTCCCTCCCTTCCCTTCTCTTCTCCCTCACTTCCCATCTCCCCCTTCTCCCTTCCCGTCCCTCCTTTCACATCTCCCCTCCCTCCCTTCCCGTCCCTCCCTTCCCATCTCCACTCCCTCCTTTCTCGTCCCTCCTTTCACATCTCCCCTCCCTTCCCATCTCGCCTCCCTCCCTTCCCATCTCCCCTCCCTCCCTTCCCATCTCCCCTCCCCCCCTTCCCATCCCCCCTCCCTCCCTTCCCATCTCCCCTCCCTCCCTTCTCATCTCCTCTCCCTCCCTTCCCGTCCCTCCCTTCCCATCTCCCCTCCCTCCCTTCCCGTCGCTCCCTTCCCATCTCCCCTCCCTCCGTACACGTCCCTCCTTTCACATCTTACCCTACCTCCCTTCCCGTCCCTCCCTCACTCACCTATTTTTCCCTCTGCTCACTCTCATTCCCCCTTTGCTCAACCTTTCCCCCTTCCCATCTCTTCTCCCTCACTTCCCATCTCCCCCTTCTCCCTTCCCGTCCCTCCTTTCACATCTCCCCTCCCTTCCCATCTCCCCTCCCTCCCTTCTCATCTCCTCTCCCTCCCTTCGCGTCTCTCCTTTCACATCTCCCCTCCCTTCCCATCTCCCCTCCCTCCCTTCCCATCTCCCCTCCCTCCCTTCTCATCTCCTCTCCCTCCCTTCCCGTCCCTCCCTTCCCATCTCCCCTCCCTCCCTTCCCGTCGCTCCCTTCCCATCTCCCCTCCCTCTGTACGCGTCCCTCCTTTCACATCTTACCCTACCTCCCTTCCCGTCCCTCCCTCACTCACCTAT